TGGATTGTTGTTGCACATATAACCATGGGCGTAGAGTGAACTAAGCTACTACAGCCTGCCTCTTAGCATCACATCAAACACACGCAGCAGTAAGGGTCAGCCAAGTGCAATTATTCAACACCTGTGCCTTAGGTTTTCAAACCTTTCTAGTATTCCTAGGTGAAGTTACTGTACACTGAAATCACCAACTGCAAAAGGCAGATAATGAGAAAAGTAGTCTGGCTGAACGGGGATTTCATGGCACCTGTCCCCTTCATGTGACAAGTATACTAGAAGCTAAACCAAAAATAGCTCATCTCCCCAAACCTACACTTCAATCTATCTCTGAAATCAAACTCTGCCTTAGCAGAAAGTGGAATTAATTCCTTCTGAAGCAGTTTCCTCTCATATCCCCTCTACTGCCTTTTTTTGGGAAAGGTACAGCCTCTAGCAGCACCACCAGAGGCAAAGCACTTCTGGTTATGACAGGGTTACTAATGAGCAACCTTTACCTTTTCAGGTAAAGACTCCTCACAATAACATTATACAATGTCCTTATTCTCGTAGCAAAAAGCATCCTGTCCCTTCCCTCCCTCCTATAAATCATCTGTTAACGTGTGTTTACAGGTACATTTATTAGTGTTATTAACAGACAACTCACAGAGCAGGCCTCCTCCAACAGCCTGAAGCACGGTGAGGATAGGGAAGAAGTACAGCGCTGCATAAATGCTTTTAAATCGATCAGATTTTCCCAAACCACAGGCAATTTTCTTAACCAGAAGAGGCCGAAGTAGCATCATTAACACAAGACAGAAGGCATAATATATAAACACAATAGTGTACCTGAATAAAAAAAATTTAAAAATGAAAAAGAGATAAATTCTTTAAAATGTGCAATTCTTTTTCTCCTGCAGACTCAACTCAGAACCAGGGAATTTGGGGTCAGTCAAGTCTGAAGAATTTACAATCAAAAGATGTAAACACAGAATGACAGGCTCTCTTTTCCTAGGGAAAATGGTCAAGGTGTAGCAAAGAGGAACAAAAATGAAGTCTTACACTTCATCGCTAAATAGCCTGGACTATGCCACCTTCTTTGGTGACTCATGTGATGTTGTTAAGCATTTCACGCATAAAACAGCTCAATGCGTGAAAAGACTTCAGAAGACTGATACTCATTGGTCTGTGTTATATCTGAACACTTTCTGCAGCTTTGAGAAGAGGCACAGACTGAAACACGTTGGTATAAGAGGAAGGGACAGACAGGAGCATGAAAGCCTTTACACTCACAGGGGATAGACAGCTTCGTGAGTGCAGTGCACTGTGGTGATGTAGTCGGGACTCGGGTTGTAAAGCATCGTGTACCAGTCCGAAAGCTTCTTCACCTTGCAGGAGCGGATATGCAGAGAGCCGACAGGGTCGCTGACGAGCAGCGTAACGATCGCTGCAGTGCTGCACTCGAACAGGGCAGTGACATGCTGCAACAATGCACTGGAACTGCAGGAGGAGACAGAGATTTACTACTATTTTGCTAACACTACAGGAAACCTAAATGCCGACTGAGAAGTGGAGGCTACTGCAGCACAGAACCTTCTACAAAGTTAATATTCACCATGAGTGAGGTTAGGACAATGCTGCTTGAATAAAAATTGAGGTATCTGAAGATGAATGTGAAAACTCTTTACACACTAAGTCATCTGAGATGATAAATACGTGATTGGACAGTCCGGCTTCTCAAAGAAAAGCTTGCTGTAGCATAAGCACCCTGCTGGGTGAGGGACACCGCCCACTGACACTGTTGCACTTTCAAAAGAAGCAGTGAGGATAAGACACTGCATGTCCCAGAAGGGACAACATTGATATGTACAATATAAGCAAAACTTTCACAAGTCCTTGTTAAAGATGGTATATATTCACATATTAAACTCTCACTCCTCTATGTTTTCAGACTTTAGTACATTCCAGAGCCATTACTTGAAGTTCCAGGCTAGCACCAAATAGCCACATGCAGCTGTGGTTTTAAACCCCTTTTTTAAGGAACTTCCTTGAGGCACCATGCTGACGTAAAGGTTGCTGCACCATCAAGACCAAAACCCAGCATACACATTACTAATGAGAAAACCCATTCCCTCGTTGTACGTGGTCAGCACTGCTGATCGGGGGCCTCTACAGGTGGTGGGTCTGGCCCAACAGAGAAGGGGAAACACAATGTGCTGCTCCTGCCACTGCTGGGAAACCCATTCCAGCCCCAAGTGCCATACAGACTGTGCACTACCACGTTAAAGAGACACAAAACATGTCCTGAGGGCAGTGACTGGCAAAAAAGACCTGCAGGACCCCTCCTCCAGTTGCCCAAAATTTATATGCTACCGCACCAGCTCAACCAACAGCACGAACTGCTGGACAGTTCAGTTCAGCATCTCAGGCTGATCGCTCATCAATACCAGATTTCCATTTTTAAATAACTTATCTGAAGAAAGGGTACACGAACCTCTTTTTTCCTGAATACCATTCAATGAAGAACCAGTGTAAAACCAGGGGAAGCATAGCCATGAAGCCAAGGTACAGCCAGTCGTAGCGGTCCGGAGATCCCATACATTCCCGGCAGATTTTGTTGTCATCAGTTCTCTGACCTCTAGGGCATACCTACAGAAAGCAGAGACTGCCTTTACAAAGCATTGGAGTACCAATAACAAACCATTGCAGTTCCTGGAAAAACAGCTTTAAGTAGTACTGGGGTAAGAAACGTATCAGATTTTTAAAGAGATGAAATATTAATCTCAGCAATTTCTCAACTAACACTGGACTTGATCTCTCCAGCCCTTGCTTCTTAATATAAGCAAAGGTGAAGCATGTTTAAAAGGCTTCGTCCAAGACTCCCTTCTCCTCTCCCACTGTCACACCACCTCCTTTCCTTGCTAAGCTCACTCACTAGACTGCTCACAACCACTGCCCTCAAGAGTTTCTTGTTCCCTGTTCACTCCACCACCCCTACATCTTGCTCTCCCTTAGTACCTCAATAAAAACAGCGGGCAGAGTGGCTCAGCACAGCTCTCCATACCATCCCATTCTGTTCCAGTTTCTGCAGCCCCTCTGTTTTAGCACAGAGCCTTCAGCACCTTCTTCGGAGGACGTTTCACTCCTGCTTTCGGTAGGAAAGCTCTGCCCACCTTTTGCAGCCCTGATCTCCACCTGCTCCCCAAGGTGCTTCGGGGCTGGGCCGCGGTGCTGCTTACAGCGGGATCCAGAGCAGCCCAAATAGAGAGAGAGCAGGGCCACCCCCTTCCCCAGGCCTCGCCCGCCCGCACTTACCCCGCAGTCCCCGTAGGTCTCCACGGAGCCGTTGACCGACAGGAC